AGTAGTATTCTTTATCCTTCTATCTACTTTGAGATATGATTTTGTGAAGAATTGATTTTGTTTTATATGGTTTTATATATCAATAATTTGTGATGATTTGAACTCTGTTCTTCATTTACTTTTCGATCTGATCAATTGAAATGTTAAAATGTGTTGAGAAATATATATTTCGAAAGGGCTTTGATTTCTACAACATAGTAAAAATCACATTTGATTTCATGAGAGAGGATGTCATCCATTGAGTTGAGTGCAAATAAATAGGGAGATATACTTTGTTGGATGCAAAATTGAAGATTTTAATGTGATAGATGAAAACCTCCAATTTCGTTCAGTTAATTCGAAACGGATGCAAGATTGTTAGCCCTCAGGTGAGCGAGTAGTGGGAGCTATGGAGTGGCAGCCGGTATCCTCCCAACCTAACCAAAGAATTAAGAATGAAACTCTGGATTAGTCCATGTTCTTTATGCACTTGGAAGAGGGTAAAGAATATGATTGCTCATATTGATTGCTCATATTTGAATGATTGCTCATATTTGACACAAAACAATTTATATATGTATTTTCAAATGATTTTAATTTCTTTACAATCCATATATTCATTGTAAAAGGGAAGTATGCTTTCTTAAATTTAAACTTTTCGTCACAAAAACTTTATTTAGTTTTCGTAGTTGTTTCGTTATTTTACTTTTGAAAGTTTAGCAATTAGTTTAATTAACTTTGACTTTTTACTGCATCTTATTTAGCATTCACTTTATTATTTTATATTCAAATTTAGCACTTTACTTTTGTAGTTTAAAATTGTAATTTAGATTATAATCTTAAAAATTTACTAATAGGCATTTCCAACTTCCTTGTGAGATCGATATCTAGGACTCCATGAGAGTACTTTATTACTTGAGCGATACATATACTTGCTTTAATTTTAGGGGATTTGGCAGTTTAAGATTTTTAAAAGATAAAACTATTTTCATAAAAGTTATTTTTGTTGGGATTAATTTGCATATTTAATATTGTATCTGTCATGTGTAATTTATAATAATGAAAAATATTTGCAAAATTAACACACTAAATCCACCCCACATCAATGGGGTGGAATATATATATATATATATATATGTCATGGGTTCGATCTCTAGTTGAGATGGGTTCTCGAATAGGTAGACACATGACGTGGGCTCTCATCATGGAGTCTAGCGTATGGGAAATCGGTATTTGAGCCTCTGCCAAATACCAATTTCCTTTTACAATACACACACACACACACACACACACACACACACATACATATATGTCATGGTTTCGATCCTTAATGACGCTGAGTTCTCGAATATTTAGGCACATAGCGTAGGCTCTCATCATGGAGCTTAGCAGATGGGAAATCATTATTTGGGCCTCTATCAAATACCAATTTCCTTTTATAATATTTATTTATTTATTTATCTATATATGTATTTGCTTAGTATTTTGTGGAGCAAACCGCAAATAGTATGGCACTTGACATGTTTGTCTTCCAAAAGAAAATCGATTTTAGTGTTGGGAAGAGAGAAGGAAGGCGTTCTTATAAATATTTTTCATGTTTTAGGTGCTTTTGTTGAGATTCCTCAGCTGGGTATAATCAGATCAATCAATGATCATGTTAGTGGAGGAATTGCTCTACAGGAATACACTCGCCAGCAAAAGGGTATACAACAATGATCCTTTGAAGGAAATTTGTGACCAAATATGTTTTGCGTTTTCTTTTGTTTAAGGAAGGTTTAGAAACATGCATCTCATTTCTTACCTGTTTACATATCCAACGCCTAAAGTTCAATTTTTACACGCATACTTCCTTATCCTATGCATGAAATGGTGTATTTCACTTTTTTGGTAAGTTAAAATGATGGAATTTCTTTTACGATATTAAAGATTTGGGTGTTATATATGTAAATAGATTGGTATCTTTCGACACAGTTTAGAGCTTAAGCGAAATAAAACTCTATTATCTTAAGTACCATGACACAAAGCTTTTTTTCTCTAGAACTTTATTAACTAAGCCATCTGTTAATTTATTGACTTCCATAAGGACCACAACTTTTTGCACATTTGACTTGAGAAGGCTTTCTTTAAGAAAATAATAGCCGCTAGGATTACATTCTCTATTCATAAAACAGGGTAGAGTTGTAAGAAGTCTAAACACATCTCAAAAACTCCCTCCTCTCAAAAGCAGAATTTTCATCGGCCTACTGATTATTCTATCAAAGCTTATAGTTATAGTCCGATAAGGAACACGATGTTTTGTAGATTTATTTACAAACTTCTCGAGGACCCATGCCTAACATTCTATATTGGGGCATTTACATACACACCACCCAATTCCTAAGTATTTACATGTCTTACAACCTAAAGTTTGAATTATATGTCAAACTTCGGGGCGGCTGGTGCTATGAAATTTCTTAAATGTCATTCTTGAATTTTTTTGGTGATTAGAAGTATTCAAAGTATTGAAATGTGGAAGTTTTATATGAATCGTTGAACTAGTTTATAATTTTGAAGTGTTAATGACATGGGAGATGTTGTAAGACATCTTTTACTATATTCGTGCCAATAGAGTAGTGTTATACCTCATAACCTGAAGACTTTGTGAAGGTTTAAGACTAGTATTACTATTTACCAATAAATGGTTTAGAGTTTCCCTTTCATTCTTGGGTAGATGGTGGCTCTAGCCCAAAATTTGAATGACTTGTGGACCATTTGATTGGAAATCTTTTTGTCTGTGGTGCTAACTTTTATTGAATTGGGCTGCTGGTGGCTCTAATCATATGTTTAATTACATGCATTATGATTGAGAATTTTGGGTGTTACTATTTATATGCCCACTTGTCAGTCATTTTTGTTTGGGTTTCGAGTTACCCTCTCTTGATTGTATTATTGATAGCTTCTAATTAGTGTTATTTTATGCACATTAATGCTCTAGTTGCCTATGGACACCCCTCAAAATGGGTTATCATGGTTGATGGCCAGCAGCTGAACTCATCCCTAGCTTAGAGATACTTATATCACGTCCTAATTTTTTTTCATATATCGACCACCTAACTGCATATAAACATGCATGCTTATAATTTAATATACTTCACATCTAAGTTTTAAAATGTTCAATGTTTGCTCAATTCTCATATATTTGCACGTTTAATACCTAACCTCAAACTTTTTGGAATAACATCAGAGGCGTCAGGTTCACTCTGCTATTTTCTCATTTACTATACTTTATTATTTGCTCTTTTTAGATGTACGCCAATGCGATTCTTCTTTTAATTACTACATATTTGACATGTGAAATAGAAACCCTAGGGTAGAGGACACATGGCATATGCTTAGGTTGAAACCCTATGCCAACACGCTCACTTGACGAAACTTTTAGTAATTCTTAAAACCTTATAACAAAGTTCATTTAAATGAATCACAATAATGAAACAAAGATCATAGGATAAAGCGCTTGAAGCAAGATTTCTCTATTCCCTTCTCTTTTCACAGAACGAGGAAAAAGATACCAATCTATTTATATATATAACTGATATCAATCTCTTTTGAGGCATGATTTCTTAAAACTCTATTAGATTTTCCTTGGCCCAACTAGTCCAATAAGAGTTAATTGATACCAATCCAACAACAATGTATTAATAGTTAAGCATTTGATGAATTCATTCCAAACAGTTTGGGAGAAAGGACACTGAAAGAAGAGGTGAGCAGTAGATTCTTCTGTATGCTTACATAACCGACACTTATCGGGGCCCCTCAGCCCTTTTAATCTAAGAATATCATCAATAGGAAAAAAATTGTGAAATATTCTCCAACCCAGAAAATTTATATATCAAATTAAATTATTTTCATTTATAAACAAAACCAACACAAGAATCTCGAGGCAATTTGATAGCCCATGAAAAGAATGACATAAAAAAGTTGAACATACAAGAAAGCGACTTGCAAACCTCAGAAAAACTGATCATCTCACGCTAGAGAGTATTTGTCGAACCAATTCAGCGATACACACCTATAAGTCGTTCTCTGCTTGAGGGCACAAGGCTTCTCTACCGATAATAATTTCCTTGACAAAAATCATGGACAAATGACCGGCTCAGCTCATCCGACTGGCTAACATCAGTCGATGAACCCATCTCCTTGAATATCTCCAAGAATTCTCCCGATCACCGATACTTAAAGCGCCGATCGACAGATGGTTCCCGTCTATATGACTGATCGAAAACACTAATTGATTCATCTCTTTGGTCTCAACTGATCAAGCCAAAGAACGATAAGACCTTGGGCTCACAGGGTTTTATTTTCTAGAATAACTTGCACTCTCCTTCCCTAATAAAGCGGGGCTATAAATGTAATTTTTCTTTATTGGTCACCCTTTCCTATAAATATGGTGGTCATTTTATGTAGTAAAATTTTTTTGCATCTCCATTCTCTCATGTATTTTCTTACAAGAAGCAACTTTAGACTCTTCACACTCTTCATATACCTAAAACATTCAATTATATAAAATATGTCACAAGAGTCTAAAATTGTCTCATTTTTGCCCAGAGGGGCAAGTCGTTGTGCGCTCATCTTCTATCTTCATTCTCTATCTCATCATCTTTCTTTCATTTTCTCTTGGTTCAAATGCTCAAATCTCTTGGGTGTACCTAACGGACAAATTGAGGTTAACAATTTTTATATTAATCTTTATTTATTTTTTGTGAAGTGCGGACATTTGCTAATTCATGTGTGAGGTTAAGGTAAGAATGAGACAATGGAGAGGGAAAAACCAATTTTAAGGGACTGTGAATGGAGGTTGCAAGAGTATTAGTTTTTAGATTAAGGTTTTGGATCTCTTAATTATAAATATTAATTTTAGATGTGATATATTTTATATTTATACATACTAATTTTTAGATGTTAAATATTAAATTTCTATTTTTGTATCTCCACACCCAATCCTTTATTGTTCCACGTTGCTAATGGCTGTACCCGGAGTCCACCTGTCTGCAGCTCCACTCTTCCAGAAGTTTGTAGAACCTTCTTCCTCTACTGTCGCTCCATTCTCCCCCGATTTTATCGGTTGTGTTTTATCCAGTCCTAGGAATTGCTAAGAGGATCTAGCTCAAAATCAGAATACAAATCATCCCGAAGAAGAAGAAATGTTCGGGGTGGTTTTCCCCGACCGAAGCTTTCCAATGGACATCTCCGCCTTCTCCCAGATCGACCCACTCCACTGGCTCCTCGACATGAACACCTTCGTCGGTATGTCAAGACAGTATTTTCTCCTTCTACTCCAACCGCATCCCTAGCCCTAACCCTATCCCAAATTGCACTTTTTTTCCTACCGCAGGTGCAGCCTACTACGAGGTGAAAGATATGTGCATTTTCCTCCTCAACTCCGCCTTGCTGCCGCCTGAGAAGGCCCTTGCCGTCTACGTCCAAGCCCCTGGACAGCCTTTCCTATTCTGCGGGGCCGTCCACAACACCCGCCCCTCAGCTGTCCTCTCCCTCCCTTGGCCCCCCGCCCCTGCTGACATAGCCGACGCTGCGGCGGGAGCCATCCAGGTCGGCGGCGGAGCGGCCAAGATCGGAGTATCTGTTGAGGACCTTGCGGCGTTGCCTCCGATGGTAGACGCCGGCGCGGAGAAGAGGATCGAGCGGCTTGCATTGCGGGTTGGTGAGAATCTCTTCAATTTTATGCAGTCGTTCTGCGGTGTGGATGGTTCTCGGCTCGTGGTGCCTATGGATATACTGGACCGATGGTTTAAGAAATTCCAGGAGAGGGCTAAGCGGGATCCCACCTACCTCAAGGGCTTCGCATTGTGATTTGTGAGGTTGGGGGGTAAAGGTATGAGCTTTCTTACTCTTGGATTTGTGCTGAAAGAAGTTATTTATCCGTTGCCTTGAAAGAGAACTTGGCTTAGGGATTGTGATGCCCTGTGGTGGGTTTTAGGTCTAGCTGTTTGTTAAGGCTTATTTTTAATTTGGAAGAAAATTCACATTGAAAATTATCACCATCGCCAAAGCATTTTTCTGTTCTAATAAAATGTATGATTGTAGTTGTTAATCATTAGTAAATTCAGTTGCCCATTGTACTGGATATTTCCTATGTTTTTATGCTATTTGTTTTTTAAAACGATTCATAAGTTCTCTATTTTCATAGGGGGATTAGTCTTTAGGTGATAACAATATTGCATAGGGTAGCTTTAACTCTCGTCTAGGATGGTTTGAGTTAGAATTTCCTAACCAAAATTATCCTGCATGGGGTCTTTTTGATTAGCTACCGAGGAATAGCAAAAGTTTACTAAAGAAGTAAAAGATTAATACAAAATAAGAGGTTTGTATGAAGATCATTTTTTTTTTTGTATGACTCATTGTACTATCTCTTTACAAGTCTTTTATCACGGGAAAATACTTGATACTGCAATTTACATCTCGTCTTTATTCTTGAAGGACTGTAGAGTATGAAATTGAGTTACTACAACAACAACAACAACAAAACCTTTTTCCCACTAAGAAGGGGGGGGGGGGGGGGGGGGGGGCGTCGGCTACATGAATCATTTTTATCCATTGCGTCCTATTTAGTGTCATATTTTCATTTAATTCTAATAAATTAACATCATGTTTTATATAATATGCCCAAGTCTTCTTAGGTATACCACTGTCTTTCTTAACATAAGTCGAATCTAAATAATCTACTCTTCTAATCGGATCATCAAATGGTCGACGTATAATGTGACCAAACCATCTAAGACGACATCTAAGACGACCGACCTTCTCTAATTTTGTTCGTCACTGGAGCTACACCAACCCTATCACGGATATATTCATTTCGCATTATGTCTCTAAGTGTAAAGCCATTCATCCACCTATTCATTCTCATCTCGACAACACTGAGTTTTATGCTTCTCTTTTAAAGGCCAAAATTCAACACCATAGAGCATTGCAGGTCTCACCACCATTTTATAAAATTTTTCTTTCAGTCTAAGCGGTACTTTTTCATCACACAATATACCCGAAGCATTCCTCCACTTCAACCAACCAACTTAAATTCTACTAATAACATCCCCATCAATATCACCATCACTTTGAACAATAGACCCGAGATATCTAAAGAGAATACATCTTTTAATAATTTGATCACCCATATTTACATTTCTGTCATTAGAGCTAGTACAACTAAAATTACATTCCATGTATTCAATTTTTGTTCTACTCAAACGAAGGCCTTTAGACTCCAAGGTAGACCTCCATAATTCAAGTTTTTCTGAGCTTTTTATCTTGTGAGAAGGATATCATCAGCAAAAAACATGCACCATGGTACATCCTTCTCTAAGTGTCCAACAAGACCATCCTTAACTAAAGCAAAAAGATATGGGCTTAAAGCAAATCATTGATGTAAACCAACAAAAATAGGAAAATATTTGGTCAATCCTTCTTCTGCTCGATAACAAATAACAGCTCTTGTGTGCATATCTTTAATGACTTGAATCTAAGTCATATCAACACCTTTCTTCTCGGGAACTCTCCAAAGGATATCTCTTGGAACTTTATCGTAAGTTTTTTCTAAATCAATAAAATCATATGTAAATCCTCCTTATTATCTCTGAATTTTTCCATCAAACCTCTCAATAAATGTATAGCTTCCATAGGAGACCTTCCCAACATTAATCCAAATTGATTATGAGAAATCTTAGTAATACGTCTTAATCTATGTTCAGTTGTGTCTATGTTCAGTTGTGCTCTCCCATAATTTTAAAGTATGACACATCAATTGAATTCCTTTATAATTTGCACACTCTTGTGCATCCCCTTTATTCATAAAGATTGAGACTAAAATACACTTCCTCTACTCCTCAGACATTTGTTTAGTTTTTAAAATAATATTAAAGAGATTAGTAAGCCAAGAAACTCTCAAATCTTCTAAATATTTCCACACTTAAATTGGGACATCAGGTCCTGTGGACTTTCTACCTTTAGTTTTCTTTAAAGTCTCCTTAACTTCTTTTTTATCAATGCAACGGTAAAAATGAAATATTTTATTATTATTATTAATGATATTAAGATCACTAAGTTTGATCATATTTTCCATAACTTCATTAAAAAGTGAATTAAAATAACTTACCCGCCTATTTTGAATATCTTTTCATAAGAAAAATATTTTTTTATTTTCATCTATAATACGCTTTACTTGAGTTAAATATTTACTTTTCTTTTCTCTTTGTTTGGCTAGTTTATATATATACTTTTCACCATTTTTAGTATCTAATCTGTTATAAAGATCACTAAGAACATAATTTTTTGCGTCACAGATTGTTCTCTTAGACTGCTTACGGGCCGTTTGATATTTTTCTCAGTTCTCCTGGCTTTTACATTTAAACAAATTTTTTTAACATAACTTCTTCTATTTTATCTTTCCTTACATATTATCATTCTACCACTAACTATTTTTATTTATAGAAACTTTTTCTTTTGATTCTGTAAGTATAATTTTTGTCAATTGTTTAATAATGTTTGTTACTTTATTCCATATAGAATATGTGTCTTCATGAATATCCCAAATTTTGAAATCTTAAATTTTGCTCATAAAAATAATTTTATTTTGTCTTTTATGTATTCCCATCTAATTTTATGACGATGATTTATAGTATTATTTATTTTACAAATGTTCATCTTAAAGTCTCGAACTAATAATCGATGTTGAGTACTTAAATACTCACTTGGAATGACCTTGCAATCTTTACATTCACGATCTCTTCTTCTCATAAGAAAATAATCAATTTGTGTTTTATTAAATCCATTTTTATAAGTAATAATATGCTCATCTCTTGTCTTGAATAAAGTATTAACAATAATAAAATCATATGCACAAAATCATACGCTAAAACTACGCTAAAACAAAATCTAATATAACTCTACCTTCTTTATTAATCACTTCAAAGCCATAGCCATTATGTATATTTCTAAAATTTTCTATCACTCTACCGACATGTTCATTTAACTCTCCTCCAATAAAATTTTTTTTTCAAGAGGTATCATTATATTAAGTCTTCTAAGTCATTCCAGAATTTATTTTTAGAACATATATCTTAACTTACTTGAAGAGCATAAACACTTATATTATTAAAAATCTTAGTATCAACTCTTAGTATCCTTAGTATCAACAATAATCTTAAGAGCTATAATTATATCTCCAACTCTATTAATTTTTACAACATTATCTTTCAAATTCTTATCTATAATTACAGCTACATCATTTCTACTGCGACTCTTACTTTAGTACCAAAATTTAAAACCCAAGTTATCAATCTCCTTAGCCTTTTCTCAAACCCATTTAGTTTCTTAAACACATAAGATGTTTATCTTTCTATGAATTATAACATCAACTAATTCCATTAATTTGCCACTATGAGTACCCATATTCCAGGATTCTATCATAATATTAGTTTCATGGATTAATTTCTTCACCCACATCCGTCTGTAATGTGGGAACACTTGCTTATTTGACATTACACCCGGATACCGGTGTAACGAACCTTGCACACTTTTCACTGTATTCAAACCATACAACCAGTCGCTTTCAGGGGACGATCTTCATCTAACGGTAGCACTTACACAATGATTAAAAGAATTCATGTCATGTTTTTTTTTTTGACAAGTTTTATGTTGGCTGTCGACTATCTAACGCAACCCTCCACTTTTCACATCCAGGCTTGGAACCAACAATGATAATATTGTGAAATTGAGTTACTGAAAAAGTAAATTTGATTCTTAATTCCTCTTCCTGCAATATTGCTATTTTTATAACTAAAAATCTAATGCTTTTGAACACTATAGTGAACTCTTAAAATTGGTGTTATTGTAATTATTATTGTTTACAACAGCGGCATGGCAAATGTCTTTGGACAGTCTATGCTTTTGGACACTATAGCAAACTCCTAAAATCGGTATTATTGTAATTATTGTTCTTTACAAGAGCGTCATGTCAAATTTCTTCGAGCAATATTGAAACTGAAATTATTTTTAGGCTATTGCAATAATGATTATTTGAATAATGGGAAGATACTTGAGGCGCTTTTACGTGGAAAAGCCTTAGAGAGGAATGATTATATAGGGCTTAGTTCTGTTGAACAATATCCATTATTTGTTGATAAGTGTTAATTCGTGATACACGACTTATGTTTATTATAAATGCATGTAACATTTTGGCTACAACAAAGTTAAAGTGGCCATAGTGGATGATGCTTCTTTGGAAAAAGCTAGATGTGGTGTCAGTTTTGCTGGAGAAAGTTGCAATGCAACTATGTGGACAATGTTAGCTTGTATGTTTCATACCCTAATGAACCAAAGGTGTAACAGAGGATGCATTTCAATTACTCATTTTATACTAGGATATGCTGACTTTTATTCATCAAAATTGATTGACTAGAGAATTATTATTATTTTTAAATAATCACCAAACATGCAATTATATTTTAGCTATTCTAATATTAATCATAAATTGTAATATGGAAGCATGTATGGAACAATCATCAAAATAAAATATAGAGCTTATAATTAATCCTCAAATATAAAATCATATGTATCATGAGTCTTTAGTTTATATAACACATCTGTTTTTAATAAAACATTCAAGTCTGTACTCTCAAATTGTTATACAGACAAAGTGATCACCTAACTACAAATCCACCTGCGGATTTCCATTTTTTTTAATATCGTATTTATAGTATTTAAGAATTCAATACTCAATAAAATAAACAATTATAAAATAAGATTTAAATTAACTGAAATAAAGTAATTTATGTAAATGTATAGCTAACATGAGCATTAACATTTATAATTATGACCACTTTTGCGCACAATAATATTAAATATACCTTTTTTGATACTTAATGAACGAAGAGAATGTAACTAATAGTACATTAAATGTAAAATTTTGATAGAAATAAATATAACTGTTTAGTGTCAAATCTTTATTGTACTATGCTAGTCCATTTTTTTGTGAACTTACTTTTATTTATTTTTTTCTTCTTATTCTTAACATATTATATTCCAAATGTTCTTTGCTTTTTTTGATTGCGAATTTGTTTACAT